ATATAACCCTACCTTGTTTGCCAATTAAAGAGAGTAACAAGGCGACCTTTCTATTTTCACTTGCTTTGTCCAGATCCGCCGGCTGCAGGTATAACTTGTACAAGCTGTTACAGCTTTGTACCACTCTACCCATGTCTTTGCTAGATTAGCGGCATTGCCTTCCAAATCAAGTTGTTCAATATTATGATTAAAAATATCTTTAGTTGCCATTAGTGCCTCAAATTTAGTACTACTGTTTAATGGATAGGTTAATACAGAACCCGGTACTTTTAGTCTAGCAGGCCGGACTGAAACCTCACCTCTTATCTATCTTATCAAACGTCACGTCACATAACCTCCCTCTTCTTAGGAAAGCCAAATGGAGATGCTTTCGTAGTACTTATGACACAAAACTTTCAATAAGGAAAGGAACATGGTTGGAGGGCTCGAGGATTTCGTTTTTAACAGCTTTAAAATTGATTTATGGATGGTCCCATAGCTTGACAACGATAAAGTGGGCCAAAGAACAGCTGAAACTATTCAACAGAGCTATGGTAACGTGGAACAAATGTCTAAGAGAGGTTTGTGCCCATGACATGTTATACAGGCCAAGAAAAAAAATTGGAGGACCTGGCAAAGTGGTTGAAGTAAAAGAAAGTTTTTTTTCTAAACGAAAAAATCATGTGGGGAGAGTTTTATCTCAGCAGTGGATGTTTGGTGGAGTTTGTCGAGAAACAGATGAATGTTTTATCTTTTTATAAAACCGATTTCGTTTTATATTTTTTCTTTTCTATGTAAATATGTTCTTTTAAATGTGTTTTTTTATTATTTCATTTTGATGTTTTATATGTACATATCTTCTTAAAGTGTTTTTTTTATTATTTCATTAATACATGTGTCGTCAAATAAAAGTATTTTTTTTGTTATTAAATTTGTTTTTGTATCTGTTTACACTTTTAATAATACGAATTTAATACAATAATACGAAGATATGAAGTAAAAGAAGGCTTATCAGTGCTTTATGGGAGTTATCAGTGTTCAGGTTATAAACATTGGCAGATAGCAGTCAGTAGCGGCCCCTTAGACGAAAAGTACCCAGAACCCTTCACAATCTGGCTCAATAATCATGTTTGCATCAGACATCTTGAATCAGTTTCTGTTCATTCACAGAAACTAGTGTAAAATAAACTAATTTTATCAATTAAACTAACAATAGAATAGCCGACGTGAGTAGAATACAGACCTGAGTAGTTTAAGTGGAGGAGGATCGGGAGAAGTAGAACGCTCTCGGCTATTTCTGTTTCAACAACTTTTATCCTATCCATCTACCGATCTGATATGATTTATTTATTTTTTTGCTGCCTCTTTTCATTTCTGACACCATGTTGTGGAGTTAATAAATGAACTGAAATTAAGAAAACTTTATTATAAACTGCAGGTAATAACAAACTAAGAGATTGCAACAACATATTAAATCTAGACAGTTTTCTCAATGGATATTCTAATACATTTAATTATTTAAAGTTATCAAATAAGAATGTTACAACAAAAACAATTACAGAAACGCTAGGATATCAAAAATTGTGCTCAAGAGTTAAATAAGTAAATAACTGACAGAGCAGCTCATTTACATAAACAACTGACAGAGCAGCTCAAATTGAATTGGGTTGCTATCGCTCGCTAGTTCCTTGAGTGATTTGAATTGGAAGTTAAGGGTTTTCTGAGTTCCATTGTTACTAGTGATGAAACATGGGTGATTTATTACACATCTGAGAAAAAAGGCATTCATCAAAGTGCACCTTCAGTAGCAATCGGAAATAAAGATAGAACTCCCTACAACATCATAAATGATGCACTAAGGAAAAAAGACACCCTCGATATCAACGAAAACACCTACCATGATTTCTCTCCGTTCTAAGGATTTTTCTATTCTTGTTACCAAGTTATGAAGCACCACCTCACAGAATTTCTCTGGTTGGTAGGCATATTGCTTTGATTGTATTGGGCTTGTAGCCAGTATATGTTCCCTAATATGTCTGTCGAGTATCTTTTCCAATGTCTTCATTATGAAAGATGACAGACATATTGGCCTAAATGCCTTGGGGTCTTCATAAGACTCTTCCTGGTTTTGGAATGTATCGCACCTTGGATATCCGCTATTTACATGGTAGATATCCCAGTGCTAGGCTGAAGACCACTTTATTTTCGATTGCTACTGAAGGTGCAGATTGGGACTATCTTGACTTTGAAGCAGGTTATAGAGAGGTCTATCGAGAAAGAGAAATAGCTCTCCTTCTGTTTAGACCATTTGAAAAAGATTTTTTAAGGAATCTGAAAGGGAAACAAGCTTTTTCTGAAAGACAATCAGATAGCACAATCCAAACTGTGAGTCACTAAGCAGATAGAGAGCTATTTTTCTTTCTAGATGGCCTTCTCTATAATCTGCCTTAAAGTGAAGATAATCTCAATTTGCAACTTCTCTTCCAATGTGTAACTTGAGTATCTTAACTATATCGCTCTGGCGATCGACAATATTTCTTATTCTAGCTTCTACGATTCTTGAGTAGAGTTTCTTTGGTACACCAAAGAGGAATGAATCCCAATGGGAATTACATTTCCTAGTATCTCCTTTCTTGTAAAGGTACAAAACTACAGTCCTTTCATATCATTTTCTAATATATTTGTTGCCTATGTACATGCAACAGTTCGGTTTACTTTGTCCAGACCACCTGACTTGCCAATTGCTTTGAACAAATCTTTCTTGCTGATAAAATGGTCTTCACCATAATAAACCTGCATCGTCCCCGTCCCCTTAAGATCATCCAAACTTCTCCAGCATTTGACTCCCTTTTAACATCATCTTGAAATATTCTGTTCATCTGTCTACTATACATTCGTTTAGCCATATAATGGATACTGGTCCTTTGTTTCTTTTCCAAGATTTTGGCACTTCTTTTCTCGTTCGCCTAATGTATATTTCCAATTTTGTGTTCAATTTCTCATTTTCCCTCATTTTGAGGGCAAATCCAAACAATCAGTTCTGGTTACTAGAAGAACTTCACCCTTTCCATCTTTATTTGTTCAGAGAGAATAATGCATTCAATATTAAAATTTCCTATTTTTTTATGATATGGTCCATATTCAGAACAATTTATTCATCAATTTCATAACAATAAGTTACTGAAAAACCCGCCAACTATTCATTATATGTAGTTCAAATTAGGTATATATTATTTTAGTTTATAAAACAGATATTGATATGACTCATTTTCTGGAAATTATATACAATTTAAATTACCTCTAAGAATCAGTCAATATACAAAATAAAGTGTTAAATTGCAAACGTTAAATAAAAAATTTTAAATCATTTTTACAATAGATGTCTACTTACACGACGTCCGTATAGAATAAAGTAAGTTAAATAAAAAAATAAAATAAAATAATAAATTTAAAAAGAAATTGTTTAATTTTTTTTTTTACAATTAAATGATTGCATTAATATTTATTCGTTAATAAAACCAATATAATGTATCAAAAACGTTATTATATCACTATAACTAAGCCACTAGCGGATCCAGGATTTAATTTTGGGGGAGGGCTTCAGCCCGAAAGATTTTTTTTCCATGTACAAATAACAACAATTAATTTGAAAAAAAAAATTAATTACCTATATGAAATGGTGTTTAAGTGGTTCTTGAAGTCTTATCAAATATAATTACACGAACATGAATACTTTAAGAAATAGTTTTTAATATTTTTTTCTGTAAAACATGGCTATATTTTACCATTTTGGAGGAAGGGGGGGGGGAGCTTCAGCCTGAGAGCCCTACCCTCTCCCCCCTAGATCCGCCTGTGAACTAAGCCATTTATGTGTACAGAATGTTGTGGTAGATGCTTTTAGGCACCTACGCCGGCACCGCTTTTCTCCCGCATAAGTGCATTTTCTACGAAACTGCTTCAAATATTTTAAAAAGTAATCAGTGTTTTAGAAAGAGATATATATTCTCCAGAGGTTTTATTTCAGTGTTATTTTTGTCTTATTGTTGGCCATTTAATTACAAACGACGCTTTATTTTCAACTTGGCGCTCAACTTGGCTTTATTTTCAAATTACTGGCGCTTTTTATTGCCTGAGCCAATTAATTTTTAATATTTGTGCATGTTTCATTATTCTCTGACTATTCAGCTTTAATAAAAGATCAACCATGAAGAAATTAGCCAAGTGTTGATTCTCAGTGACCAAAAAACTAACTAAAGTCAAAGTTGTCAATCTGCCATCTTTGGACACCATTTTGGGACAGTGCGCTCACTTTTGTGGGAACATAGGCTTTTTTTTAATAAATAGTTACAAGGAACACAACGATATGCAATTTATTGGTATGTGGGGAGGGGAGGGTGCACGAATGGGGAGTCTGGCCCACCGTGTATTACAATTAGTTCTATTTGAGCTGACATTTCATTATTTATGTAGAGTGGTAAATGAATATTAGATTAAACTATTTTTTTTTTGCTTTCTTACACCTTTTTGCACTTTTATATTTTGTTACATAATTTTGCATGTTTTAGGGTCTTTATTGCATGTTTCAGAGGTTTTTACTGCACCAAAATTCGGTCTTTAGTTATGTCCATTTATTTTGTAGGAGTCAAGTGATAAGTCATGTTGAACAAACCATGGCTAGAATATATAGAAACAGATAGTGCAGTCCTATTTCTAAGGTTTCCAGTTTAATAATGATTAATCTATTAATTTCTGGTATTTGAAAAGCCTTAAGGATAAAACTAAAGGATTATCAACTATTTAAAAATAAAATAACATATTAATTCTCTAGTTTTTAAAAAACTTTCATTGATTAATTCCTTAATTATGAAAAAATTAACTAATAAATTAATATTTATCTAACTAAAAACACCAAACCTTTCATGGTTTATTTATTTTTTTAAAGATATTATCTATCCATTAAATTAATAATAATAACACAGTGATTGTTTAATAATTTCCAATTGTTATGAATGGTGTTTCAGGTACCTGATGTATACTTTGGATAAGTTTGTTGAGCAGGATTATACTCTAGTTTATTTCCATTATGGCTTAAACAGCAAAAATAAACCGACCTTATCATGGCTTTGGCAAGCTTACAAAGCTTTTGATAGAAAGTATAAAAAGAATTTAAAAGCTTTGTATTTAGTACATCCAACCAACTTAATTAGAGTTGTGTGGCAACTATTTAAAGCTGTCATCAGGTGAGAACAACTAGAACTAGAATTGTTTATTTTATTTGTCTAAGGAAATTCCTGTACAAATAAATATAATGGTATTATTAACAATGTTAGATCTTGAGTCTAGTACTGCGTTCAAACATAACACTAACAACATTTACAGTGTTAAGTATGACTAATATAATAACAGATTAGTAAACAATGTATATATATATATATATATATATATATATATATATATATATATATATATATATATTCATACGTACATATATATACATACATATACATAAACAATTAGTAAAACTTTTTTTTTTTAATAATAATGTTTTTTTTTTAAATATTCCAGAGGTATTAAATAAATAACAATATAATATAAGCATTAATATATGTTAATATGATTAATTATACTATTTAAAAGTTCAATGAACAGCTCTGTATGAAATAATACAGTTGATTTATTTTTTTCATAGTGTCTATTTTCTGCATCTCCTCCACACTAACATCTTCCCTGGATTCAGTGATAAATGTCTTCAAGTACTTATTTCTTGGTTTTTTAAACTTGATACATTGAATCAAAAAATGATTCAGGCAAGGTAGTTGCATGCACCACATACTTCACTAGATTTAATAGTCAATGTATCATCTTTTACGTATATCTTCACAAAATCTTTACTTGCTATTCCGAGACAACTAACGATTCTTAATTTGTTTAAATTCAGAGCCTTGAACTGAAAATAATCCTGGTATGGTAACATTAAAGGAGCAGATTTTTCTATATCTTGGGTTTGATTTAGAGTTTAACACTCTGTTGATGTCCTGGAGTGCCTGATGGTTTCTCATTTTTTCAATGATTTCATCTTTGAACCTCATCAGGCTTTGGAAGAAAACACATGAAAACAGCCCCTGACATTCCAGTTCCTCCACAATCATCTTTATTTGGGTAACCCAGTTATAAGTTGGATCAGGTTTCCCAATGGATGAGTCTAGAGCTCTAAGTCTATTAAAGCATTGTCTAGGTAGTCTTTCATCACCCATTAAGCTTAGCTTTGTCCAATAGTTGATCTCTTTTTTCAGCACTTCAACGCTTAATGGAGATCTCCCACTTTCAAGGCGAGCCACATAGTTCGGTGTATTTCTTGGGCAATGGAGCAATGACTTGGTAAATCGAAGTTGTGTCCTCTCCAAAATCTCCAGGTATCTTAACCCCCAGATCTCTGCAGCATAGAGCACTGACAAGACCATCGAGTCCAAGAGACTGGTTTTTGTTTCCCAAGAGTTGCTTTTTCAATTTCTTAGGATTGTCATCACTTTGGTCGCTGCAACAGATGATCTTTGTAAGAAATGCTCTGCGCCTCTCTCAAATTTTCCAGAAGAAGAAAAGGGTACACCCAGATATGGGTAGTTTCTGCTATACTCCAAACTTGTGTCTCGCCAAGCTAAAGTCTTAAGTTTCTTCATCTTTGGAGATTTTTGGAACACCAACACCTTAGACTTGGCTGGATTTAGGGTCAAAGATTTGCTTTTACAGTACTCACTCAGTATATTGATGTTTCTTTGTGCACCATGCCATGAATTACTGAGGAGGGCAATATCATCCGCTAACAAAAGCATAAATACTTAATGGTTGTAACTTCATGATCTATACTAATACCAACAGTTCCTCGGTCATGGAAGTACTCAACTATATCCGACACAAACAGTATAAACAATGCAGGATTAAGACTCTATCCCTGAAGCAGGCCCAGGCTGATACCAATCTCTTTTGAGAGCTCATGTTTTAACTTTATTAGCATCATATAGTTTCTTGAGAAGCCTAATTAGTTTTCCTCCCATTCCATGAGAAAAAAGCCTTTCCCACAACAAGTTTTGGCTGAAGACCTTCCTCAGGTCCACGAACACTGCGTAAACATAGCTGCCCTTTGACCTCAAATTCATGTTGACAACTGACATCTATGTGAATATGTGATCAATGCATCCCAGCCTGTTCCTGGCATGTCAGGTATTAATTTTTCTAATTCAGCCCATTTCACGATTCTGTCCCTCAGAATGCTAGTGAATAACTTTGCTAGAGCATTAAGTAAGGATATTTCTCTGTAGCTGTTCAGATCCTTTTCATCACCTTTCTTATACAGAAGATGCAAGTTAGTTTTTGCCCACATTCCTGGAATTTGTTAGTGCTTCCAAAAGGGGTTGAGACATTTAACAACTTCATAAGTTATATTATCAGGTCCTGGAGATTTTCTATTTTTTACTGGCACCTATGACGTGTTGCAGTTCTTCCAATTATATATTGATATCGAGGAGTGGATGAGTTACGGATAAAAAGGATATTTCATAGATAGTAAGATTCGTGTAATATTGAAACCAATCCGTCAGACTTATTTCGTTATTTTGATTGTGAAATGGTCTCAACACATTCACCGTCTTCCAAAATTGTCCGTATTTTTTACATTTCTTAAATTTGTAATTACTGATGCTCTAAATTCAATTTTTTTCCTTTTTATTAGTTTTCTATTTTCATCTCGGGCTTGAAGGTAGTCTCTGATAAATCCTAGCAATAAACTGTTCTTCTGCATAATTCTTTGCGATTTCTTAAGATTTTGTTTACCTCTCCTGCATTCCTGATCAAACCATTTGTGCTTAAGGTTGCGGAGTGCTTTCGCGTTCAACTTCCTCGTAAACATTAAACCTGATTCCAACAAGTTCTGCTGCATTGCCTGTTTGAAGTTATCATACAGCTGGTTTACATCTTCAGAATAGAAATAGTTTTTTTCAGAGTTGGAAATATTTTCACAAAATAAATTAATTTTATCTTCATCCACGGTGAATAGTTAGTAACTAAGCATTCTATTGGCAAAGGTATTCTATTCATAGAAGGATTTTGTGCTCCAATGGTTTGCAAGGAGGTAAAACAAGCCATGGGATTCAGAAGCCCTGATATACTAACGACTTCCATGTCTCTAAATCTGTTCAGACAATTTTCATTTATACATACCAGATCGATCACCGATCTCCCCTTGGTTGTAATGAAAGTATATTTTCCTGGTCTGTCCGAAACACTATGGCCATTGCATATTATCATCCCCAGAGACTCCAGAGTTCCTACCAGAATTTTTCCTCGCCGGTTCACATGTTTGTGATATGACGATCTTTTTTTGTAAAGTCCTGAGCCAGACAAAAATTCTTTCTCTAAATCATTTAAACTTCCCCCGTTCCCATTAAAATCATCTTTTAAGATAATGCAGCTTTGTGAATAGTTAGACATTATGCGAGTCATGGCATTATGAAGTTCATCCATGCTAGAAACAATATCATTATTTGGAGGGAGATAGATATTTCCCAATGTTACAAACATGTTATTTAATGTCATATTAAAAAAAAAAAATCCAAAAGCAGTTGAATTCCAAGATGGTAATCTATGGTGAGCTATGCTCTTATGAATCAGTATTGCCAATCCTCCACTTCCTCTGCCAGTTATATGTGTTTTTATGGCATAAGAATAGTAAGCAACAATATCAATGAGCCAGGGTGGTACGGTAAATTCATTAAGTATCCAGGTCTCTACCAAACAGATAATTGTATTTTCTTTGATTATATTTGATTCTATGCTTGGACTTATTAAATTTTTGTGGCCATTAATGTTACCGAGTAATATTTTTAATACCTCTTCGTGTAAGTTGTTTGTGGTTAAATTCACTGGCCTTGTAGCTTTAACATTTATTATTATTTCAGACGACAACGAATTATTATAAACAAAAGGTCAAGTGGATGTGTGATCCATTGATGGGCTTCTAAACTTATACTCACCCAATTTTTCCTTAATTTTTTTCTTTTTGCTGCTTGAGAGGGTTCCAACTCTTGCTGGTTATCATTCAAGTTCTGTAACATTGTTTCCACTTCATTAAGTCCATATAATGTACCTCTTATTTTAAAAAGATCTTTTTTGTAGGACGCGTGAGGGTCAATAATCTTTAGTTGCTTATGTAATTAAAAATCTTTTTACCTTGTTCTCTTTCTTCGGGGGTTTTATCATGGCTCGCATACATTTTTTTTTTTATTTTAGTCCATCTATCTCTATTCTTAAATATTTTGTATTTGAAAGAGCTATTATTTAATGAAACTAATATGGGAGGGACCCTTTTCTGTTCTAAAGCAATTATGAACGGCATATTCTGGTTGTGCTATATTGACATTTTTTAAGGTATCTTTTACTTTATCTAAGACATCTTCGTTTTCCGTTATTGGTATATTATGTATAATAAAATTATTTCGTCTTAATTGTCTTTTAAGAAGTATAATTTCTCTTTCCAATCGAGTATTTTTTTCCAGATTTGTGTTAATTTCTTTAACAGCCTGCATAATCTCGTCATTAGTACAACCCACTTTTTAAAGATATATTTTATAAAGTGGGGCGATATTAATTAAGATGTTAATAGTTTTAACGGGTAGTTTTCAAAGAAGTGTTTCTTTTATTTTAATTGAACCACGTAAATGTAGTTTTCTTCAAAGTAGTTCAGCTTCAACAAAGGGCCAGTGAGCTATTGAAGTTCAAGACCTGGATAGAAAAGGGCAGAGCTTCCTCCACCTAGACAATCCTGATATAAACCTGCCTAATCTGTCTTTAAAATGTAAAATAGTTTTTACCTTATTTAGTACGATCAGCTCATGTGAGACTCAGTAAATTTTAACAGTTTGTTTTTTAATAGTAGTTGATCACAAGTGCACAGATTCATTCACCAAAATCAACTACAACACTTTTTTTAAACTGTATAACACGGAGACGATTTGAACATAATCACTACAGTGGACTAGACTCATCATGTGAGAACATTACTTTGGTGACATTTTATTAAATATAGATTCACTTATTGAGTAAAAATTACAGAAGCTGTTCTGATTGAGTAGAAATAGCATAACATTTAAATATTAAAATAAATATTGTATTATTATCACTTTTTTGCTTACTCATTACTAAAGGTAGGGAAGTTTTGTCGTGCGAGACGTTAATAAAAATGTTGTGG